GTTTATTCTGTGCAGATGGCTCCATTTTGAACATCCAGAATTTGTTTTGACTTTGTGACTATAGCTTGTAAACAGAGAGTTGGCTGGCATCTGTACCGGGTATAGGTAGCTTTTTGTATTTGATCTAAAATTGAGTGAGGCTGTAGCCAAACCATTAGTCAGTCAAAATAATGTTGCAAGCCGGTTAAAGGCAGCATATCCAAACCATGAGGGAAGCCTGAATCAGAGGCGGTAGTGCTGTCCATAAATTGACAAATTGATGCACTAGCGGTGTTTCACTTACACAGCTACTTCAGCCAGACTCTAAATGTGGCTTTGCAAATCAAGGCATCTCACTATTAAATGTTTTGAACTGAATCTCACAGAAGTTCTCTTAAGTAAATGTGTTGATATGAATAATACAGGGAAAATGCATAGATATACATATATTTATAATTCAAGATAGAGAAAACTCGGTTGCATTGCTATTAAGCATGAAAACACTAGTGCTGATTCTTGTCTATGTGTATTACATGTATGGAAATTATTTTCAAGGACAAATGAATACCAAAAACGTAAAGTTCTCTGCTTCTTCTTTTGTCAGATCCATTCCTAATCTTGCAGATGAGGTTTTAGGGCTATTTTTCCTGCTATCAGTATTTAAACACTTTAGCTCTTTTCTGTATCTTAGTTAACAGAAAGGGACACCGATTTTGATTTGTTAATGGAGAGTGTAGTTGAGCCATCTTTTGCTTTAAAAGGTTCCCCCTGCCTTTGTCTTCTCTAGTTTAAGTAATTAAGTTGAAGGATAAGTAGCCAGAGTATGTTCAAAGACCTTGGCTTTATTTTGTTAGACCTAATTATTCCAGACAATACAAAATATTTTTCAGTAACTCCCCCTTACCCGTTCAGAGCATATCTGTGCTTCTGCTTATCTGCGGGTTCAGTTCTGCTTGCACGTTGCTCAGGTCTATCACCTTGCTGGAGAAATACATGACTTGTAAATCTGAAAGAATTCCCCAACAGCTACCATAAAATTAAGCTGTTAAAGAGCTCTTGGAGCTTGTTTAAATGTAGACCTAAACAAACCTCTTTGCTGTTTAGGTCAAGATAAATCTTTTAAAAAGTCCTGTTCTAAATCACTTCCTAATTTTAATGAGTTTATATATCAGCCTTTGCCAGATTTTTACTGCAGCTATTCCCCAAGATTACAGCCATGATAAAGTAAGGACTAAAATTGTTTATTATATATTATTCTTCAGAAGCAAAACTTTTTCCCCCAGAGGCTGTTGGGAGAGCTATTGATTTTCTGCCACAATGTGAAATGTGTGACCTTTATAATATGAGCAATGATTACAAGGCCAATAAAATGACATCATTCTGTTTAAACTTTAGAGTTCGCAGGGCAAATAGCAGAATGTGCCACATTTAATGATGTCCACGGACGATAAGTGTACATTGCCTGGCTTCAAGAGAGACTGAAAGATGAAGCAGGCAGGCTCTCCATTCCCAAAATATCCCACGTTTGTGCCAGGAGTAGGGGAACCAGCTAGAGCTGTATCTTTTCCCAGCTCTTAAGGTGAGAAGTCATTGCTTTTCTGAGAGCAGACTTTTCTAAATGTTTGCATCTACTGATGCCACCGACAAAACTCCTCCTGATGTGATACAGGATGAGCTATTTGGGGCACAGCTGTATACATTCGTACAGATTTTCCCCAGTCCACTGCATATGCATTTACAGGACTAAATTCTGTTCTTGTAATACTGCTTTATCCACTTCATTGCAGTTCCCCTAGAGTAACTGAGAGAAGGCTCCATCCCAAATATATGAAGTATAACCTCACAGAGTGTATTCATATTTTAATACATGCGAAAACAAGGAACACAGAAAGCTTCCGTCAGGCTTGGAGGGGGATGCCACAACCTGATTCACTGCAATAATGTCAGAGAAGAAATTTATGGAAATTTGTCTCTGCATCTCCCACTTCAGTCACATCAGTCTGTGTCCCCACATTATTTTTTTCCAGTCCTTCAAAAACTCACTTTTGATCCATTAGGACTTGCTCCAGTCAATTCCCCATCCATTCTCCAGCCCGTACCAAGCCAGATCCCCAGCATGGAAACCAGGGTAGCTGAAATTTCCCTTTGGCTCAGTATTTGGTCCAGCTAAACGTGAAGCCGAAGTGCTCGTTGCTTAGAAAGCACAAGCAAAGCAGCACAACACATTCAAGGCATCTCAGAGGAAGGAACAGGGATAATTTTCTTTCCCATTTCTGGCTCATTGTGTAATATCAATAATCTCTGTAGCTTTGTATTATATTTGCCGTAAGTGGCTCTAGTGATTGATTAAACACCTTAGCTTTTCTTTGGCGTTTAATCAATTGCAGCAGCAGTTTATTGCTTGGTGTATTACAAAGTAAAAGAGATTATTACTTAATTATTCTGAAAAATAGCAGCTTGCAGTTGTTGCTAACATGGGTATGTCTACGCTGACACTGGTGTCACGTCATCCTTCTTTTTGTGCCTCCTCGTCTCTGCGCTGGGAGAGAGCGTGCGATTCCTGCCGGGTCCCGCGCAGTCAATCCCGCAGCCATCGCCAGCACAGTGCAATTAGTGGTGTTAAATAAATAATTGCTTATGGTGGGGCTTCCCACAGTGCAAAGAGCCTGATTCTGTCGCTTGCGGCGTACCTCCAAATCTCACTTAAATTTTAGGCAATGTCCTTATTAACCAGCCCACGTGAATATGAACTCGCTGTCAGGTACAAACCTCTTCTGGAAACAATTCAGCAAGAATTACATCGGTACCAGGAGGCATTTTGATAGCCCAGGGTGCAGCACCGGATGTGTGCACAACTGGAGATGAATCAGATGTGGGGAATGTTATTGCTGTATGAGTGTGAGAAAGAAAAAAAAAAAATAACATTTTGTGACATCCTCTTGAGGATCTAGGAAATGGCAACTCTTCTGTTTGACACCTGAGGTTTTCTGCCTTGAGTGCAAAATTGAATCCATATGCAAGAGTTCAGAAAGACTATTGTGGTGTGATAAAGCATAAGGATTCAGGGTAGCGTACACATCTGTGCATGGAGAGGGACCACAGGTATCGTGATCAGTATGTATTCTTACCCATCTGCTTGTGGAATAGGATCTAACCCACCTGTAGTCCCATGCAAAGGGACAGTCCAATATTTAGACTAAAAAATGGGGTTTAGTCCCTTGCTTTGCCCCTGACTTTCTCTATGATCATAGGCAAGGGTATTTGTCTCCTAGTGCCTCAGTTTCCTTTTGTGAATGGGAGTAACTGTTGTTCACTACCTTAGAGAAGCATATGAAATGAAGGACTGCTAGATGCATCTCCGTTCTGATAGTGGACACCATCTAAGTACTTTCAGTAGAAAAATGAAACCTCTTTGAAGCTTTGATCCTCCAAAGATTCATATAAATTAAAGCTGTGCCCTTGACTTGAACAGGGCTAGTCAATGGAAGACCAGCGACAAAGCATCCAGTGAAAATTTTAAGCATTTCCCCAAATGATTTTTGGGGTATTGGGGTGGGTGGGGTGGGGTGTCATGTTGGTTTATGAAGGAACAAAACTGAACCTGTTATGTTGTTTACTTTTCCTCCATTATGGTAGTAGAGGTCTGACCATCACCTTTCTAGGCAGCTTTGTGAATCCAAGAGGTTGGTAGTGCTCTTGCTCATGCTTAAAGCTGGCATTGCCTGTGAATAGTGACGCTTTTGCCAGTCCATGTAAGTCACGCAGCATCGTATGCCGGTTTTGTGTCAATCGTGCAATGGCTTTTGCAAGTACTCTAGCAGAATTGGAGCGAGCAGACGTTGACTGTCCAGTGACTAGGAGAAGTTCATGTTTCTTTGAGAAGGTGCTGGATGGTCCTAACCATTAAAAGAGTTTATTTTCTTACTCCAACAGATTTCCCCTCCCCTCCTTGATGTTACCAAATTTATTATCACTTTTGTCTTTCAGGTGTAACCTGTCTTTAGTGTTGCAGACACATCAGCCAACCATGCATTAAGAACTGGGCCCTTACTTTAATTCAGTATAATTTTCTTTTTGTCCAATAATTTCACAAGCACTAATCCACACTTCAAATGCAGGAGATACTTTGATCCCCAAATTGTTCAGCACTTCATGCAGGAAAAACCGTAGGCCACAGTCATGAAACTCCTAGAGGATGGCTGCTGGCTTCCTGTGGCAGAGCTGGTTGTTGTTTTCCCCCCTCTCCCTTCTTTGCTCTAACCATTTTGTCTGTCTATCTTGTCTTGTATTCAGTTTTCAAAGCAATTGCCATGAAGGGCTTCCTTTTTTTAGTGCCTAAAAGGGAACAATAGATTTTTAGAGTAAACATATATATATTTATATTTTACATGACCATCTGTATATGCGTAGCATATCTATCATATCTGTACTTTAATATAACATACTGAGAAGTTCAAGCTAAACAGAAATTAATATTTATTGTTGTTATTTTTTATGAAAAGGTCTTTAAATGTATCCTTAAATGCACATGACATTTAAAATTATTCCAGTGCTGGATTCCTGAAAAAGTAGATGACCTTTTCTCTTGAAATTGGAGTGGTTTTTCCCTAACAGTTATATTATGCACAGAAGATGAGATGTTAACCAAGATGTTAAAATGTATTGTTTCCCTTTGAAAGCTAATCCTGTTCCTCATTTTCATTGATGTTGGCTCTTTTGTTTTTCTTTTTCTTTCTTTCTTTCTTTTCCTTTCCTTTTCTTTTGCAACTGTTTTTGCATGAAAATGCAGAGTAGCAATAAACAAATTTTTTGTAAGACTTGCTTTAAGACTCTTCTCTTTCAGATCCAGTTAAAGTTTTTAAGTTCGGTTATTTTAAAATTCATATTCTTCAGTTCTGTAAACAAAAAAAACGGAGAAATGTAATGAGGTGCAAAGTGATTTTCTAGCCCTCACTAATCAATAAATGCCAACAAAATGGGGATGGTGTAATGTCCGTAATTTAATTTTCTGCTGTTACCAGGTCACCACGAGACAGTAACAGAAGCGGGGAGAAGCTGGAATTGGCCATGTCCAACCTCACTGCGGATGTCCTGGAATTACTCCTGGAGTTTGTTTATACAGGTTCTTTGATCATAGATTCAGCCAATGCAAAAACCCTACTGGAAGCTGCCAGCAAGTTCCAGTTTCATACTTTCTGTAAAGTCTGCGTTTCATTTCTAGGTAAGAATCACTCCATCTAGTGAGATCTCATTTTAAGGTTTGTAAGCCTTTCTTCTAACAGCTCTTAAAAGATAATTAGGAAACCCAAGATTAAATATAACAAAATAAAATTTAAAAACCCACATTATTTATTTGGGTTGAGATTTGAATTTAAAATGCTGACACGGTGGCCAGTGGAAAATGATCTAGAGAAGCATAGCCTGTTGTTTGAGTGGCAACTGCTTTTACATCTTGGATAGACTTTTTTGTTGAATCTTCTTTCATACTTGGTATCATGGTGACATTTTGTTTCCCAGAGGTTGATCTCTGCACAGAAACCAGGGTGTAACGCACAGGTTGCTTATAACTGTGACAGCAAATGTTGGGTGCTACAGCACGCCAGCTTGGTCAAGTACTGAAAGAGTTGGAGGTGGAGTCCCACAGAGGAGTCAGGATCTGCAATTTTCTTGCATCCATGAGAAAGTCCTTCACATGTCCAGTGTCCTTGTAAATGGGATCTGGTTGAACTACCCAGGTTGAATGTTCACAGGGTTTGGTCTTTCATACAGTGTTATGGTCTGATGGATATGTGTCATCACAAATGGTGGATGGGAATGAAAGGTTGCTGTGCCCTCCCTTGGTAACTGGCGTGCCCTGTGTGCACAGGGAGCAATTGCCTCAGTGAGGGTGTGCCAGTCAACATCATCACCAGTGCCTCTGTCCATCCTCTCATGGCTACCTGAGAAGCCCATTCCTTCTTATCCAGAGCACCATGTCATCCTGCTCCTTGCATTTCTGTATATTTTCCAATATAGACTATTTCAAAACAGTCCAAGGTGGCCAACTCAGTTAACTAAGCTTTACTGGTCTGAACTGGAACCATCCAGCCCCATTTTTGTCATGGCAGAAGAGGAGCCAGAACTGGAGCTCAGATGAAACATGTTGGTTCAAATTCCTGCCTGTATCACGTACCACTCCTTCACTAACACAGCTATAGTATCAGTTAATGAGACAGTAATAATTTACAAATTATTAACACAAACTTATTAATACAAAAAATGTGAGCTTGATCTTATATATACAACTGACTTCCCATGTCCGAGTTCCAAATATCTTTTTTGGACTTCTGATTTCTATTCAGGCTCCCTCAGCTTGGTATGGGAAATGTCATTCTCTCTGGACCCCAAATATATCCTCAACCCACATGAACTATAGGTTCTTCTTGGGCAGTTCTCATTTAAAATTGACATCTAGAATTACAGAGTGTGGAAGATGAGAGTTTAGAAAATGTTGCACTCATTAAAAAAAAAAAAAAAACAAAACAAAAACCAAACTCAGATGAGTCCAGTTTACTGCTGTGTTAATTTTCACTGCTAAGCTGACCTGCTGGCAAGATGAGTGGTGTGACGAGGCTGGTACAGTGCAGGCATCAGCAAAGAATCTGTGGTATTGTATTCTTCTCTTCTTGCCAGATTTTCATATGTCACTTGTTTAAAAGTCTGTTCTCAGATGGGTGGGTAATGGGAAAATGAAATCTATGGTTTGCAATCCCACTGTGTTGGTTGTGCACCTCGAGTGAGGGCTCTGGCTCTGGCATTGCCTTCCCCCAGCTTCCCTTCACCACCTTTTAAAGTGATTAGGTCTTAGGCCCTTTCCAAGAACAGATATGTTTAAGTTGCGCTATCTCTAAAGATTCAGCCACAAAACCAAAATACATTTATTTCACTAAATCAATGTGAGATTTCTCTTTTCCAATAGTTAATATTTGAATTCAGTGAACCGTGTTATGGTATGAAATAGTAGAGTTGGTTGTAAGTTCAGTGATATATGGAGAGTTGCTGGAATTTTGTATTCTCATTTGGAGAATTCTTGGAGTGTAATTGCTTATTTTTATTTATAGCTGTGACTGGATTGCTCTACAGAGATAGCAGAGCGTTTGCCATCTAAAAAGTTTAGGGAAAGGCATTTTGTCTTCTCTGTGGCTGTGTTTTTTCTTTTCAGCCCAGCCACCTCTGCTCCCCACAAAGCAAAAATATAGTAAAAATCAGGGTTTTTTCCAGGGTTTCTGGAGGATTCACCAGTATAAACAGTGATTCTTTCCCATCAGTGGCCTTGTCTAAATAGTGAGAGAAGCAGAGGGAAGTCCAAAGAGGTAAAAGCCTCAAATTAATAGGTCTGTTCAGCGTAGCACAGCACCATCTCAGAGGAAATTCAGGTCATCCTTTTTCAGCCGTGAAACTCCAGCAGGGTCCTACCTGGTTGATGTCCAGACAGCTCTTGTGTCTCTGTCCTGGGCCTCTCAGCGGCGTTGGGCAGAGGCACCCCAGATCTGCTTGCACTTTCTGGTGGAAACATGCTGCAAATGAGTCAGGAAAATTGTTTCATTTCAACGGGAAATTTCTTAACCAGCTTCACTGGGCTATTTATAGCCATGTTCTCTCTCTCCCCCACATGCCGTCTCCTCTGCTTTTGTCTAGACCATGAGAAATGACAACAGTTTTGTGCTGACTGATGCAATGATGCTGACAAGTTTGTGCAGGCGCCATATGATAACTGGGCAAATGTTTGCAAACCGGTCAGGACATCATAGGTATTTCCTCCATCCATATGGCTGAAGACTTGAGGGTTTTTTCTTTTCTTTTTTCGTATTTGTTTTACGCTATCATCACAGTCATGGCTCAAAACAGATTTCAGCAGATTCATCAGTATCATGGTTTGGATCCACAATGCAGGGACCCCGCTCACAGGAGTGAACAAATTCTGAGCTTGGACTTCAGCCTGCTGCTGATAAAATAAAAGTATTCGTAAGTCTAAAGAAGTTGGTGGAACCTGTTAGAGTCATGGAGCAGAACAGGAAAGAGCAGGAGCTCTGAATTTTCTTAGTCTCCTGGGCGAAGGGGATGAAGTTTGCAAAGAGTATGAGAGGGAGCCATGAGAAAAACTGAACAACAGAACATGATGAGACTTTTATGAATAGGCACATGCACCTGAGGGAAGAAGAGACCTTTATGGTCCTTAGGAATTTGAGAGAAAGTATTATGGCTAATTTTTTGTTCATCCAAGGTGGAGAATTTTGAGCCAGCTGGGGAACCACACTGCCCAGCACTGGAGAAACTGAAGCATCAGCTATATCTGGAGACAGGAGAAATGAGGAACACTCTCACAGGGGAAGTGAAATCTTTTGGACAGTGGACGCATCTAGAAGTCTTCCACCTATCGCCCATCTTCACATGCTTTTGACACTTGTAGGAATACCTGAGGAATAAGATCCCCATCAGAATGTACACAGGGTATGATGAGGAAATGCACATTTTATGCTAATTTTAGTGATATCCAAGTCATCATCTGGAAAGCATCTCTAAGTGAAAATATAGTACTCAATGCACAGAGAGGGGGTTTACCTCAACCACTGAGCGTCCATCATACTGTTACCGCAGGCTCGCTGAGTAATCCTTCCTATGTACCATCTATCTCTGACTATCTCAAGTCGTCCCGCTCCCAGAAGTGCCGTCTTAGCAGTCTGCCTGGCTGATTATCTCATGATGACTCTGCACAGGATCCCATTCCAAAACCGTGTCTTAACACAACTGGAGAATACCGGCTGCTGATCTGCAGTATTGTGACATACATAGAGACAAGTATGCTATCCAGCACTGTCTCAAACCAATAAGAACCTACTAGATTACATCTGATATCCTTAAAATCCACTCATAAGTCTGTTATGAACTGTCCTTGAGTGTTGGGAATAGCTTAGTAGTCAGCAGTCAAGTTCTGAATGGACTCAAGGTGAAACTCCACAGAAGTGTGTTGTTACAAGTCCAGTGTCACTGTGGCAAAAGCAGCAATTACTGCAAACATGTCAGCGTCCAAAGGAAAACAGCTCAGGAGCAGATGGAGCAAAACTGGTCCTTAGTTGTCTTCAGCATGTCAGCATCCAGAAGTACCTCCGGATTGCAAACAGTCACTTGGAATGGGCTATATTATATAGCTGAAGTCTGTATTTAAGTAGTCATGTAGGCTCCCTTTATAGTCAGTGAAGAGTAACAGGCACTGCTCTGCTCATCCTGAAGTCATTATCCAGAATATTACCAAATTAATCCAAAATATTACCAGATTGCTTCTTGGAATTGTTTGTTTAAGAGTGTATGGGGATACTAATGTGATTGCTCAGCTGCACCATAGACAGCTGGAGTCAAGAGAGATCAATCTCACCCCTAAATTTTGAGTCAGAGGTGAGAAATGGAAGGTGTATTTTTTCTGTTCACAGGATAGAGATTTTCCATACCTCTTATAGCTGTTTCCCCAACCTCTGTCTTGCTCACCTGCAATGAACCCCTCTAGTTCATATGCCAGCCCTCATCTTAAAAAGACATCACTGCGCCCACCTTGCTGTGGTGCTCATCACATCAGAAGTGATGAAGCGCAAAGAAGTGCATCAGCAGCCTCCTGAACATACGGTAGTCGGCATCTCCCCAGGACCTCTCTCTAAATGGCCTTATCATACTTGCTGAGTCAGGCAGGGATAACGTCATTTGGGTCTGCCACCGAGGCGTTTCTCAGGGAAGAGGAAGGAGGGAAGCTCAAAGGAAAAACATGGAGCTGCTTGGACACCAGTGTACCAGGCTGCATCAGTCATCCAGCACTGTTAGAGGTAGAAAAACCTGTCCAGCTCAGAAGAAACCAGTCATGACCAGTGCTTTCTCTGCCCCACGCCACAGGCTCAACTGGGGATGGTATGGGAATCTCTGCTGATAGAGGCAGACCCAGTCCCTTGAAGGCGAAGACTCATTCTTGCCAGTCTTTTCCATCGTGTGCTGGTAAATGGCTGCTTAATCAGTCAAACTTGGTTATTACCTTTATTATAAACTGTATGAGGATAAGGTGGAGTGGTGTCAGATTTGTCTTGGACTTGAGAGTTTGCCAAGTGATGATGAGAGTTTGGGGCTCTGTTAAATGATTATTTTACCCCCAGCCATATGTGTACATGAAACTGCCAGCCGACAGAACCAAGGAACCTGGAAGAGGGTTTTGGTTCTTTTTTTTTTAGAAAAGCAGAAGTTTTGTGAGCTTTGTGCTTCATAGCTATCAGTTTGCAGCCTGTCTCTGGGCAGTCTTTGAGTGACAAAATCTACTGACAGCATACAGTGCCGCTGCTCCAGTCTGTGTGAGGAAATGGGCTCCTTGGAGTCAGTACAATCAACTGATGCAAAGTGAGATAACCTAGTTTCAAGACTGGTGGATCTGTAAAAGAAAATAAAACGAGTGAGGGGAAAAAAAAAAAAAAACACACAACACAAAACTCCTAATATCATGCCAGGTTAAAAAAAAAAAAAAAAGTAGGTCATAATCCCATTTTGATAAAAGCCACGTATAGATTTTCTGCAGATTTTAAATCTGATGAAGGCAGAAGCTGGGCGTAGGGAAAAATCCCCGAGCATTTCCAGCAGAAGCAATCTGTTGGGAGTTTTGTTTGAAGAGGTATGGGGCTATCGCCCGTTCCTGTCCAGCACTCTGAAATAGTGCGCTAGGATATGACGCTGCCCATATGTGATATACTTCTTCTTCAGGCGCAGAAGCCTGCCACTGGTACCGATGCTTCTGTGATCTATTGCAGTCTGTCTCTCTTATTTTTATTTTTTTTTCCTTGGTCCTATATCTTAAAAGAATACATTCTGCCTATTAGTAGCGGTTGGTTAACAAAAGCTGAGAAGAATCAGAGAGTTCCTCTTACAAATGTCTGAAATTGGTGGTTTTTCTTCAGAATAGCTGAAAAGGAAAAAAGTACAGTCAAATGTATGGTGTAGCACACTTTCAATGCAAAGCTACACACTGTGCCGTTACTTCTGTTTGCCGGGTAGGAGATAATGCTGTCTCCTCTGTACATGATTTTCTTTGAAACCCACTACACAACATTTAACAGAAGGCGTTAGTATAATCTGTGTTTTGCATAAGGGATGTCATCACATTCAGCAGCAACAAAGTTCCTTCGGAAAAAAAGATGGGGAGGATTTTTTTTTTTTATTTGAAGTAGCTTAGTAGCTGAACAGGGCAAAAATTATCATAAAGCGACTGCAGCATACTCAGAAATGTCCTTAGTGCTGTTTGCATTTATTCTTAAGTGTCTGCACTGACGTTTACATCTTTGCTGTTTCTTAAAGCAACATTGTAGGCGGTAGAAATAGCAGCAGTCTCTCGGCTGGGTTCCCGTCCCTTGAGAAGCCCCAGATGCTATTATGTCAGTAGGTTTCCCCAGTGCCTTGTGAAGGCTTACACAAAAAGCTCACTCAGAAAGTGCATTTCTCTCCCCATCCCCAGCTCAGCTGTTAGACAGACTTTGATTTTTGTGTTTTAAACCCCAATCCTAAAGTAACGCAGGGTGCTGCTTCTAATTAACTCCTTGAAATTAATTAGGGTTGGAGGTTTGTCCGTGGCACTTATTTTTTTCATGATCTTGGTAAAAATGTGAATCTTGCTTTTAATAATTCTCATTTGCCATTTTTTTTTTTTTGCTCCTTTTTTAGAAAAACAGCTGACTGCTAGCAACTGCTTAGGAATATTAGCCATGGCTGAAGCCATGCAGTGCACTGAACTATACAACATGGCCAAAGCATACGCCCTGCAGATTTTCCCAGAGGTGGCAAACCAAGAAGAGATCCTTAATATCTCAAAAGACGACTTCATTTCCTACATGTCCAATGACAGCCTGAACACCAAAGCGGAGGAGCTGGTGTATGAAACAGTGATAAAGTGGATTAAGAAGGACGCTGCAATCAGAGCTCAGGTAAAAATAATCTCAGCAGCCTCACTCTGCTCCGTTCCCATGAATGCCTCTTTTAAAATAGAAACCATCCCAGTGTGATTTTAAACATGAGGTTGCGTAGGAGAAGGGATGGGCAGTTCAGATAAAAAAAGAGAAAGGGAATGAAGGCTATGCACAAAATGTATGTAATTGCAAAATCTGATCCCCATATCTGATCATTTAGAATCAAAATCTCATTTGTGACATGCATGGTACAAAGCTAGGGCCTCGAGTTGTTGGCTGCAGGCTTGGTCGGAGATAAATCAGGAAGGATTAGAGTTGTGTGAGATGCTGCATTAAGAAGGGGATGCGTTTTAGTAACAGTGGGAAATAAAAATCTGTCAGAAAATCTGTACTTCTTTTGATGCCACATACCGAATGAGTGTAACTTCAGTACATAAAAAAAAAGATTCTGTATCTTTATTGGCTGCTTAGATAACCCCTTGGGTATTATATATTTATTAGAGTTAGCCTTTCCTCAACCATCTGAGCTATGCAGTCTGCTCTTGACTCAAGAAACTAAGTGTATTACTGTGCTCAGCACTGTCTCCAGATAAATGCTAGAAGCAATGACTGACTGGAGGCTGATGATTGTCCCTGGGACCAGAAGACTTCCCTGGTGATATTTAAAAACCTGCCACTTGCCTTCGGTGCAGCCCTGGAAGTCAGCTTTTATGGGTAGTGAATTGTGGTGGTCTGAACCCCAAAACTCTCCTTTTGGAGGCCCAGTTCTCCCCACAGCCCCCAGAAGGGGAAGGCTGTTTTCCCCCTTTCCCCTCCTTTGGAGGTCAAAGTTGCTGGCCCGTCCTGGCAAGGCCAACTTCTGTTGATCCCGGCTCACAGTTTTGGCTAGTTTAAGAAGGACAGTCCAGTTTCTTATGGATCAGACTGGGACTCAGGGAAATACTTAGCCACACATTGTTGAGGCCATCCCACATCATGAAAGGCTGTACCTTCTTGATTTAAATGGGAATTCAAGCACCGAAATGTGCAATGGGATATTAAGTGCATTATTGGATGTGATCCAGAGCAGCTGCACCTCCACCCCTCACCTGGAAAGTGGGAGAAATAGCAATTCCCGACCTCAAAGGGCTGCTGGATGAGGATAAGAGCATTAAGGGCAGTGGGGTGCTCCATGCCTTTCTGCCTGCACTGCCTGCGCTGCCACTGCCAGCTTAGTATTGCCCAATATTATTATTGCCTAAAACATTTACACGATATCATTGATTTATTGAAATGGGCCCCTTTTTGGCTCTCGCTGGCCTTGAAAAACACACTTATAGAGTATTTCCCTGGTTGCTTGAAGTTTGATGACAGCAGTCAGCTCTGTGCAGCTTTGAGCTCTGAACCTAATGCAACCTCAGGGATTATTCCCGGGGCCCGGAGTACGGGAGCCCTGCGGCAGGAGCCTGTTTGCCTGGTGCAAACAGAAGGTGTCACTCACCAGGTGGTCCAGGTTACGTTTTCAAAATTGCTGGTTTAAATATTTCCTTCTGCACCCTGCTGCGGTAATGTTATGAATTTTAACCACTTATTTTTTTAAGTGGTGCTTTTTCTTGCCCCCCTCTCGCTGCTGCCACCACCACTGCCATCTCCTCCTCACTCCCTTTCTGTTGTGGTTGGGTTGGTTTTCTATTTTTTTTTATTATTTCCGAGTTGCCTTCCCCTCTGCCCTGCTTCTGCAGTGCCTTTGTAGTTTATGATGGCAGTTTTATTTGCTTCTCCAAATTTCTCTGCGGTGCTTTGGTTTCATGCATTACTTTACAAGGGCTTTTAATTTTTAATTTGTATTTATCCAGAGATGAGGGTCTTGAATAAATTAATATTAAAGATACCAAGCAGATCACTATTTTCATGCCCAGTCCTACCACTAAACTAGTTTCTTTGGATCGTAGCTTTCAAATTTTTTGTACTCTGCACACTCCTTGATCTATTATAAAGCTCTTAGTTAAATTGGTACTTATTTTCTAAAAGTAGGAACTCATACTTACCATGAAAAGTACCATCTTTATAATAATAACTTCTGCATTTTCAGAGCCCAGGAACAAATAGCTCTGAAGGTGGATAGGAAGGAAGATAGACCTAAATAATCTTGTTTCTGGTAAAGATGATGAGTGAAAATTTGCACTTGGTGTGCAGCAGGACCCACCATGCCGGGAAGTGCCCAGGCTCCCATGAGCACAGGCTGCTCAGGGCTTTGCAGAACTGGGTGACCATGGCAATAGTAAACGCCAAGCGGACCTTCTTGCAGGAGCTGTGCATGGATATTTTGACTGTATTCACAGTTTGATGAGATGGATTCACTCAGCTCTTTTCAGACTCCTTGGGGTGAGGAACCAACACGGGGAGGACACCAATGCAGCAACAGGAATGTTGCTTCTGCACCCAGCTGGTGGGATCTGGTGGGAGGGTTGCTGGAGAGGTTTTAGCCATGAATTGCAGCAGCCCCAAGACATCACTCCTGCTCTACTGCACTCCTCAGGTGACCGGTCTGGTTTTATTTCTCTCTCCCAAAGGCAGTTCTGGCAGTTAAATCCTTCAGGGCCTGGATTTCCAGGGGCCACACTTCCTTCGTATTTCCCCTCTCCCCATCTCCCTTTGCCTGACAGGCCAGGCTCTATCATCACGTTTTTATTTGCAGTAGTTCCAATGGCAGGTGATTTAAATGCCTCTTTGGCAGTTTCTTCCAAGCACTGAATTGGTGATTCTCCCAAAGGGGGATGTTTGTCACAAACAGGGAAAGGTCTGTGCTCTTCGTCTCACCTGCATCTCCATCTTCCCTGGCAAAGCCTGGCAGGGGCTCGCTCAGCAGAGACATCCCCACAGAAGAGCTTGCAGAAGCAGCCTTCTCTCTAAATCAGCACCCTCTGCCCTCAGGGCAGCTGCAGCCCTCCAAAACTCCTTGTGCTTTAATGGCTTTGTGTCACTGGAGTACCAGCTTACGCCTGGGGACAGTAAATCTCACCGCTTGTGTTCCCCACACCGCAGCTCCGTGCCGTGCTCTTACGACAACTTATCCATCACTGCCTCCCTGCCTGTCTGGATCCCTTTCTGAGAGCCACTGGGAAGGAGATTTTCAATGGAGCCTCCCATTCTCCTGGAAGGACGTTGAGTTTGCTGTCTTCCTGCTCTTCTCTGCCTTTCTAAAAGCTCTTCTTCGGGTATTGAATTGTTTCTGCTTTTGTTAATTCCTTCCCCACCAGGCTGGAGGGCAGTGGCAGGGAAGGAACCAGGATTTGCTTGCAAGGCAAGTTGAAAAGCTGCGCTCTGGCTGACTTTTAATTGTGCAAATTGTGCTCATACGAAGTCTTATGGTGCTTATAACAGTGCTTTGTGGCATTACAAAAAACAGCATCCAAGCCTCGTTACAAAGAGGGAATAACAGTGCTTTAGAGGTTACTGATCCATCTACATATGACAGAAAGGCAGTTCAGATCATGACATAAGTCTTAAGTTAGGATATGGTAAATAACTGTATCCAGTGCATTGGAGTAGCACACCAGCTCATGCAGTAATGTTTATGGAGCTATTTTAGTGCTGCTGGTAGTGCAGTCGTGTAAAATGGGTCTAACCAAAAGAAGCAACCTGTGATGTGAGGTCTGGACCAGATAGGTAATTTCCTGCACCAGCAGAGGCAGAGCGCTGGTTGTAGGAGTCCTCTTGATGGCATGTCACTGAGTGGAAAGCCTGCAGCCTACTGACACATCTGGAAAAGCTGAACTTAACTGTTTTTTCTATTTATTTCTCTTCCTGACTGATGGACAAGATTGTAAGGTTTATCCTAACAGTTATCCTCTTGATAAGCTTATTACAACTCCGGCGAACTCATGCAAAAAATATATTGTATAATGGAGGCTTTACTGTCTGGAAACCAGGACGGTCTGAACCATCCAAATAAGCAAAGATTTCTGCCAGACCCCAAGCAGTCTTCCCCTGAGCTCATCCGCCAGCTCTCTGCGTGGCCTTGGGCAGGTTGTTTCACCTTTCTGCCCCCCATTTCTTACACTATAAGCTGGAGGGAAGTGATGCCTCCCACATGGGCTGTTGGGAGGATCCGGTGGATAACGAGCCATGTTTTCTGCTGGTACTGACTGCCGGAGCTGCGCAGAGCTGCAGACATGGCCAGCGTCAGCGCGGGATGGGGAAGATGTGAAGTTGCTGGATGTGCAGCAATTTGCTGCCTGCCCGGAGCACAGACGTACCAAAGCTCGTTGGAAACTTTCCTACTTTCTGCTCCAAGTCCAAAGTTATATCTCTTTTCTCTGACAGAAAAAAACATAGCGACATGTTTATTAATAACAGAAAGCCTGGGAAAACGAGACGTCCAGTTGCATGAAGCTTCCCTCTCTCCCTGAGGAGGGACAAACATTTCAACAAGTTGCCCAGAGTAGTGCTGGAAGAGAGGCAGGTGCTGCAGCGATGAGGGACAGACGAGGGGCTCAGCTGAATGGCAGTTACCTTTTGTTGCACTCTGCAAGGATGGTTTAAACCCTGGTTAAAATCACGGTGTCCAGCAGCAAAATGAAATATCTCCACCGTAAAGGCATTAACAAGCCTTCTATGAACTTGTGTCCTCAGAGGCAGATTTGTCTAAACAGCATCTTCATGGTGCCTGAGAATCAGAGATGCGTAGACAAATTGGAGGTAATTTAGAAAAGAGCAACACAAATGATTAGAAGACTGAAGGAACTGATGTGAGAAAAAAAAGATTAAAAGATATGAATATGCATGACTTGGCCTAATGACAGCTAAAGAGGGATAAACGTCTACAAGTGTTTGAAGCCCCAAGGAGAGGAGTTGTCTGGAAGGATGCAAGGGGTGTAACAACAGTAAGGACCACTGGGATGAATTTGAGATGTGGCAAATGAGTCTTAAGGAAACACAATGCCCGCCTGAAAGCCCTGTATCTGTCAGTGAGGGTAAGGAAAGGTGATGGAGAGAAGGAGAAGAGGATTTATGTCAAAAATGCTACAAATGCCCAT